GGCAAGCCTCTGAGTGCGACCCCCCCTTTATAAATTAAAAACACTTTAAATATAATTAACACCATTCTAAATGCTGGAGGCAAAGCGGGGTTTGGAGTGGAGGCTGACAGCTCGCGACCCTCCATGTAATAATCTTGCGACACCCCTGAGGGATCCCGACCCCCAGTTTGAGAACCCCTGGACTAGATAACCTCTTGAGGTTCCTTCTAGTCCTACATTTCTAGGATTCAGTGGAAACCAGCATAAGCAATGATATTTACAAATTCATGGATGACAGGAGAGGTCCTGGAAGATTGGAGAAGGGCTAATGTAGTGTCCATCTTCAAAAAGGAGGGAAAGGAGGAGCTGGGGAACTATAGATCAGTCAGTCTAACTTTGATACCTGGGAAGCTACTAGACCATGTATAAAATATTCAATTTGTGAATACCTGGAGGATGAAAGGGTAATTGCTAGTAGCCAGCATTGATTTACCAACAACAAATCATGCCAAGCCAGCTTGATTTCCTTATTTGGTAGGGCAACTGGTCTGGTGGACAGGGGGAAGCGGTGGACATAATATACCTGGACTTCAGCAAGACTTTTGACACAGTTCCACATGACATTCTGATAAGTAAGCTGGAGAAATGCCGGGTTGTCAGAACTTCCATTAAGTGGACACATAATTGGTTAAGCAATTGCAAACAAAGAGTAATTATTGATGGAATGATGTCAGATTGGAGGGAGGTCTCAAGTGGGGCTCTACAGGGATCTGTTTGGAGTCCAGTGTTGTTTAACATCATTATTAATGTCTTGGATGTAGGTAGAGAAAGCATAGTGATCAGATTTGCAGAGGACACAAAGCTGCTGGGGGGGCGGGGGAGGTTGTCAACAATTTGGAGGGTAGAGCTAAAATTCAGAGGAATCTTGATAAATTGGAGAACTGGGCTATGGACAACAAAATGAAATTTAACAAAGACAAATGTAAGGTGCTACACTTAGGGAAGAAAAAACAAATGCACAAATACAGAATGAGGGAAAGCTGGTTTAACAGCAGCACGTCTGGGAGTTGTGGTGGATTACAACCTCAACATGAGTCTGCAATGAGATAATGTTGCAAAAAAAAAAAAGCAAATGCAAATTTAGGTTGTATTAACAGAGGCATAGCATGCAAGTTACAGGAGGTGACAGTACCATTCTACTCAGCATGGGTTAGGTCTCAGCTGGAATAATGTGTTCAGTTTTGGTCACCAATGTATAGAAAGGATGTAGAGAAACTGGAAATGATCCAGAGGTGAGTGACAAAGATGATCAAAGGGATGGAATGCAAGCCATACAAACAAAGGCTGAAAGAACTGGATATGTTTACTTTGGAAAAGAGGAGATTAAGGGGGACATGATAGTGGTCTTCAAATACTTGAAATGCTGCCATAAAAATGGAGAACAGTTTTCTCTTGTCACAGATGGCAGAACAAGAGGCAATGGATTCAAACTACAGCATAGCAGATTTAGATTAAATCTCAGGAAAAAATTCCTAACTGTAAGAACAGTAGGACAATGGAACAAACGGCCTAGGGAGGTTGTGGAAGTTCTTTCACTGGAGGTTTTCAAAAGGAGGTTGGAAAGCCATCTGTCTTTAGACACAACAAACCCTGCATTTTGGCAGGGGGTTAGACTTTCTGGTCCCTTCTAACCATGTGGTTCTATGGTTTTAAATGAGAGGAGAATCAGATCCTTTAGAATTCCATTCCACACCTCCCAACTTGCACTAGAGAGAGATACTTGTCACGGTTGATATGGACATAAATGCTCAGAGTGAGATGGGGAAGAATAATTTCTCCTCAGACATGTGGTGTTAAGCATGCAAGTGGACATCCACAGAACTTAGGGTCAACTTACTGGATCCTTTCATGTGCCAAATTCTGAATGACTAGAAAGCCCTACAGATAACGTGATCCTGGCCAAAGCCCATTGAAGTCCCAGGCTAAATCCCTTTTGCTTCAGAGTGACATAAATAGCACATAAATCTGTCCTAAAGGGTCACCACCTCCATCCCTGGTCCACAAAGGGGGTATTCTGGGATGGGATGAGATGAGGTAAAAAGGGACATGACCAGAACCTACTGCTCTGTCAATCATGAACTGTTAGAATACTCCTTTAGGGGACTGTTCCAGGAGGTCAGTGAAAATAGCGCTGTGGTTGTTTTAACTTGTGCCAGGGCCTATTTTGCCACTAGGGAAGGCAGAAAGGTGGATCACAGCCACCTGTGCTGAAGATTGAGCTGAAGGACTGTGCCCCAAGAAACTGGCCCAATTTACACAGATAACACAATGAATAATGCTAACAGACATTGGTGAGGAGGGGGGTCTGAAAAGATGTGGAAACACTGGAAAGAGAATGCCACTCTTGGGAGAATATAAATAGTTTTAATATCTTAAACATACCATATCCAGTGATCTCTGGCTCACGAAATCGAACCCTTCTCTCTGCTTTTCGCTTTTCGCTCACAGCTTGGTTCACGGGTGGCCTTTTCCTCAGTATCGAAGGTGGACATTTACTACAATTCGTCTAGATAATTGATCAAAGCACAAAATGCCATCGTTCAAACTGGAGCAATGCCTTTTGAATGAAGCTCTGAACTTTCTTTGGCTATATAGTATTTATATGGTGTCCTTCAAAAGACATGATCTGAAACACACTTGTTGCGACATTGTTTACACTCAGATCATTGCAGTATTTACAGTGAAGTAACGCTGCACTTCTTTTCAGAGTCATAGATCTAGAGTTCACTATAAAACTTGTCATCACCAGAAGGAATGACAGAACAGAACTTGGTTACAACATAAAAATGCAAGAATTGCTATTTTTGGAACAAACTGATTTAATTCAAAAAGGGATTTTTCTTAATCTGAAAGTACAAGGTGCTTAAAAAAGCCGCAGCGTCCTAATAGGATAGAAAAACACAAACACGATATCAAATATATGCATCTTATTATGGGGGTGTCTTTCAAACTATTCTTCCAAGTTAAGCAGCTGCATGGTGGATGAGCACATATCATTGTAGCAACTGATATGACACACTAGTCTCATGTTTGTGCATCATCCTGATGTGTATGTTATGGTAACTCATATGCTTCTTAAAACTTAGATATACTTATATTGTCTTTCTCACTTTTGCTTGAAAACAACATTCAATCTTAGATCATAGAATCAGATTATTGTGGATCCTGTGGGCAAACGACAAACAAACAAAATAAAATAAAAATCCCAGTTTCCTCTTAAAAATGCACTTTATCATGATGTGGTCAAAGTCTATAAGTGAGTCCCAGGCAGATGAGTTAAGAACTGTGCACTGCACACATGCACCCAGCGAAAGTGGGCAAAGCAGATGTACCAGTCTATATTTTGACAAGGCCTAACTGTGGTGATGGGAGTTTTCCGTGCTACATTATTACTTTGTGATCGAAATCCAGTGATGAGGATAAATATATTTGCTCACATGTGTCCATTCTTCCTCCCTTGAGAACCTGCTGGGCACGGTGAAGGTAGCGCCTACCACAATGGGCTCCTGGTCTATGACTAGGGCTCTTAGGGTCTATGGTAACACTAATAAAAATAATATTGGTTGATGCTGTTTCCACTGTTGTAGCCTCCCTTTCCTGTTTAATCACTTTGGCCCCTCCATTTTATGTTCCTTTCATCCCCATCAACCAACTCTGTTCTATGCCCTCTTCTTTCCCTAGTTTAATCTTTCTACCCCTCACTGCCTGTTTCTTCTGCCCATTCACACAGATCAAATGCCTCTCACCCCCACAAGCACACACACACACACATCAGGTTGCAGACACTGGGTTAAGACATACTACATCATGTGCAGGGCTGTGTGCCAGCTAACTCTGTCTCCCAAAGTAGAGAGGACATGTATCACACCAGGCTTCACTGGCTTCCACTTCAATCAAAATCCCATATCAACAAATGGAAAAACACACATACAGAGTTTGCCAACATATATGGGTAGAGTTCAGCATCCCTGTCCAAACTGCACAAGTCAGGGGAACGATGTTCATGTGGAATGATTCTTTTTGGGGTTAGAAAGGAGGAAAAAAGGGCTATAAACTTGCCACCAAATCTTGCCACCAAGTCTTTAATCAGGCCTAACTCAGGTCTTTAAGCATTTAAGCACATATTTAATTCCCTGTGTTGTCAGGAGGACTTGTGCGGAAGGGCTTCAGTCAAGGGGATTAATACTTGAGTAAGGTCTATGATTGGACACCAGGGTGCTCATTTATAATTCCGGACATGAATCTACCCTTGGATCATACCAGGATCTAGGGAAAAGTCCTATTCACATCATTGGGAGGGAATAATAAAATAAGGGGTCATGATCTGAAAGGGCTAAAGATAAAATGTAGAAGTGTTACCTAGAGAAGATCCTTCTCATAGGCTCATAGGAATCACCATATCAGATCAGACTAGTGGTCCATCTAGTTCAATAGCCTGACTGTGACAGTGGCCACTACCAGATGCTTCTGAGGAAGATGCAAGAAATCCAGCAGTAGGAATAATCTTCACACAGGGGAAAATCTCACAGATTCATAAGTGTTAAGACCAGAAGGAACAAGCATGATATGCAGGAAGTCAGACTGGATGATCATAATGGTCTCCCTCCTGCATAACATAGGCCATAGAGCCTCACCTAGCAATTCCTGCATAAAGCCCATAACTTCTGTTTGAGCTACAGCCTCTCTTTCAGAAAAGTATCAAGACTTGATTTAAAGACTTCAAATGATCTAGATTCCACATCATCTCTAGGTAAGTTGTTCCAATAGTTTTCTTTCCACCCTTCATTTGTCAGACTGACTTAAGTCCTGAAGCATGAAGGTTCATATGTATTTTCCAAAATTCTTGAGGTTTTCCCCCCACAATCTTTTCTATTATAACCGTGCATGTTCTTGGTGACTATATAAATGTCCAGTCCTTTCTCTGGAATCTTTCTGAGCAAATGGCCTCAGAGATATATCCCAGCAATGAGTTCCACTGACTAGATATGAATATGAAAAAGTATTTCCTTTTATCAGTTTTAAACTTGCTGCCCTTACGCTTCATTGCATGCTCGCCAAGAGAACCACCAGCAAGTGAATAGATATGCAGGAAAAGTGGCTGGAGTAGGTAATAAGTGAATTTAAGATAAGTATGGACGTATCCAACAATTCTACTTAGTGCTATTATTGGATAGGCAACTGAAAAGTGAGGCTTTTCTGCTAAGGGGAAAGGAGTTAGATGGATTAGATCACAGACAAATGTCTCTACGTCCATGCATGTAAATAAGGCTGTGTTTTTCATAATGATTGTTGCATTTCTATGATTATTTTGGGCTTTCTTTTTAGAAACCATTCCCAATCTCAAACTCTTGCAAATAGCTCAGCTCTTAATCTTCCTTCTGTTGATAATATGTGGGTGAAAGTCATCAGGAAATGATATAGCTGTAGTGGGATCACATCTATCTCTCTCCAATACAGTTATGCCCTCACGTTACACGTTTCACAAATTAGATCCATTATTATAGTAATAAAGTGGGATTTTAACATTAGAATTTTCTACAGAAATTATAATAAAATCATTGATAGAATTTTAGTTGGGAAGAGATGTGATTCACTCTCAAAGGGGCTTTCACAGCCCCTTGTCAAACAGTGAAGGCCAGTCATCATTAAATATACATTTTTCCATCAAAAACCCCAGTGCTGATCATTGAAATATGATATTTTATTGTTTTACTGCATAAATAGCACAAGCAAAGCTTATTGTTTTGTTTTCTTGGGGCTATTTATCCATGATGGCATGCCTACCTATTCTGCTTTTCTGCTCTTCCATAGGACTTGGTGAAATCCCCACAAAGCAATGCTCCTTAGACCTGGGGCAAATGTATTACTGAGTGGGATGAGTGGGCTTAGTTTTGCTCTCAGTTACACTGTTTTGATAACGAATCTCAGCAGGGGAGAATGGGGACATATGTTGTCCTCTTGTTACCCACCTCACCAACTGGGAGAAGAAGAGCAGCCTCTGTGGAGCTGCTACTCGCCTTCCTGCACATTGTAGCAGGCAAGGGTGGGAAATGGACAGAGTCTTGGCCCTCTCCATCCAATGCACTGGCCAGCATGAATGAGCTGACATACCAGGGGAAGAAATCTGTGCTGGGGCTACGGGTGGTGTTCACATTTTTCACTGAAGATAAAGCTCTGTTGACGTACACCACTTGAGGACCTGCCAAATGTCTGCACCATTTATATAACTATAAACCGTGGGCTAAAAGCATGATGCTGTAATGAACTTTGCTTTTCACTTGCAGACAGGAAAGCAGCATTCAAATTAAGACAACAGCTAGTTTTTGATGAGCTGGGATTCTCCACTGAAAGCTGATGTAAATAGAGCAGTTTGAAGTCATTCAGATACTCGCCTTACCTTCTCTTTCCTGTACATTGGAGAGACTGAAGACTCTTCCTCATGCTGCAGCAGGCTAACAGCTGCCAGGCTTCTAAAACTCTGCCAATCCACTCTCTGATGTCTCTTGCAAGGATTTCACTGTGTCTGGAAGTCCTCAATTGCACTGTGTCAACACATTCTTTAGGGGGGGAAATTTCGTTCTTAAAACTGTTCATATAAGACCCTATGCAGGCAGGTTGCTGAGGGCTTCCTGGTTCAAGGGGCCTCAATTACCAGGGACTTCCTTGGGAGATGAAGTTACCCAGGAGCTCCCCAGAGACCCTCAGCACATCTAAGGATCTAGTTTGTAGGATTTTTACATGGAATTTTAACAGATGCCCAAATCAGTATGAAGCCATATGGCTAGGCTCTGACTTGAGGCACAGCCCTGAATAAGGAAGGGTGCATAAGCTGCATTGTCCCAGAAGTACTAAGTCACAATTCCTCCCTCGGTTCCTCCTTGCCCCAAACAGGTAGTAATTTGCTGCTGGTCTATACCAGCACCCATATGCTGACTAAGCTACTCTGGCCAGCAAGTACAGAGGTGGAGCCAAATATCCACCCATTCCCCACCCACCTGCCCCAGGACAGTAATAAGCAGGGGAATATCCTCTCTTACCTCTATACCCCTATACTAATGTAGCCTATGTAGATGTGTAAGGGGGGGTATCTTTTATTCCAGCTTATTCTCGTGCACAGATGCATAGGTCAAGCCGCAATCTAGCCCTAGACATTAGAACCGTGGGTAATGATTTCTTTCCCCATAAAAAAATTCAGTGAAAACAAAATTCTTTTCATTATTTACAAAATTTGTTGTTTTTCGGGAGGGGGGTCTTCAAAAAAGTTAAAACTAAACATTTTTTGGTTTTCATTAAATGAAAACTGACAGTTTTAGGTTGGGGGGGAAGGTTTTAATGTTCTCAAAAAATGAAAAAGCAATAACCAGTTTGACACCCTCCCAACCCCCCAAATTTTAACAAAAAGAAATTTTATTGGCAACAATAAAACAACAATTTACTTGAAAAGCCATTGTTCATTAAAAAAAAATAGTATGGTTGCAAAATTGCCAATCAGCTCTAAGAAAGGATTATTGAAAATTGCCACTCTAACTATTCACCTTTAGATGCTTATAACATTGACAGCAGTTACCTTAGCCCTCGCATTCCAGCATGAAAAAATGCTATAAGCTCAAACTTCATAACAGCGACTGATCCATTCCTGCTAAGTGTTTCTGATTGCAGATTAGTCACCTAAAATTGCATATACATTAAGAATCAAACAGAGTTTAATTTATGATATGAAGGATTTCATGAAAATAATGCAGTGAACGTTTAAGGTGGTGCTAAGAGAAGAAGTGAGTGCTACCATAGTGGGATAGATTACTTTATAAAGATCTGGAGTGTCTTCTCCAACCTCATCATCCTATTTTAAGTTATTTCCTATCAAAGTAGTGATCTCATTTCACTCAACATATATCAGAAGTAAAGCTGGACAAATAATTACTAATGAATAATTTGTCTGATGAATTTCACCTCTTTTTCACTTTGCTAATTGTCCATGAACAGAGAGTGATTTTTGTAAACATATTCATTATGCAGATGTAAACAGTGGATAATTTCTGGGACTAATTCTATGTCTGTAGATTGCTGCAAGTCGTTTGTTGCAAGTATTCAAGAGTCAAAAAAGAACCATGTTTTTAAAACCAAACAAAAATATTGTTAGCCAGTGGTTGAGGACTTAGGCCAATTTCTATAGTGAAGTTTGAATCATTAAAGCCAACACATCCTCCACAAGTTACCATGACTATTTTCTATCTTAAACAGAAGGGAAAACTATGGCACCACAGAGAGTACTGTGTTGGCAAATGCTGGTTTTAAGGGCTTGCAATGTGTATGCAAATATGTGTCTTTGCAAGAAAAGGGAGCTTAGGTGTCTGCTCAGCAGAAAAAAATGAAAAAAACAAAACAAAAACCCAAACCCTCATGATTGACTTCTCAGTGAATAAACATGAACAGCCTACACAAAAGGACTGACTGCACATACAATACTTTCCTGCAATACCCCAATGGAAGATGTCTAGGAAATAAACATAACACGATAAAACAATTTTACGCTCAGAGGATAGCAGTGTAACTGTATGAACTCTTTTTCCATTTCCTCCAGCAGGAATAAATATTTTAGACAAGCAAAGTACTTTGTAAATGATGCCTTTGTGGGGATTCATCTGGCCTGGTTCAATTATTTCGAAACCTAGCAATTTTCTCATATCATTGAATCTGGTTTTATTGCAAATAGGGTCATAGAAATAGTCACACATTGCGATAATGGACTTAGTTTATCTTAACTATTAACACTTCCAATAGGTTTACACACACGTACATATACAATATTTATGTACATGCACGGTGCATATATATTAATAATGAAGTAACTTTATCTTGAACAATCTGAAAACAAAATCACGTAATAGCATACAGCAAGGGGTGCGGTTGTAACTGGACGCTGCGGATCAGTATAACAAAACAGAAAGGTGATTAATTAGAAGGGAGTCTTCCATATCTCCTCCAACTTCCTGAGTGTTAACCGATCCTTCATTCAGTATTCCACCGTTAGTGGTTCTGTGTACACGCCATTAATAATTTAGCCATGCAGCTGTAGGCAGCGAGATGAGTTTTCGTGATGGTCAAGTGTGATTTTCCACCTTCACGTAATACATCAGAAAAATATTAATTGCCCCAGAGCACTTAATTAACACTGAAAGGTGTACTATCCCTTTTTTGCCTCTGGAGAAACAAATTCACTGCTGAAAGATATCCACACAGCAGGACACCCACACAATGGAATACAGCCTAGCTCTTACTTGTAATATCTATCAGAAGGGAAGTCCTGCAAAAATCATGTTCTCTGGGAAGAATATGCAACAGGATCATGCATTGTGGGTAGGCCACCTACAATGCAGATCAGAATGGAGAATTTGCCCTGTAACAGGGTATTACCAACTCTATACTGGGGAGGCAAGGGTTAAACAGCTGTTCTGGGCCCAAGGGGCCACACCCCTCACCTCTGCTGAGTATGGTCCCCGTGAAGGGAGCATTTAAAAGGGTTTGACTCAGATCAGTCTGGGCTGACTGCAGAGGAGAGCGGTTGGGTGCAGCAGCCTCCTGCCGGGAAGCCGCCAAGGCTCCATGCCACCAGGACCGAACCTCATAGCAAAGCCTCTGGGAGCTGGCCAACCCTGAGAGTCATCAGGGCCAGGGCCAGCGGGAGAGTTGCCGGAGACAGATCAGAGGGGAATACCTCATAGCAAAGCCTCTGGGAGCTGGCCAACCCAGAGACTCGCCAGGGCCAGCGGGAGAGATGCCGGGGACAGATCAAAGGGGAATACACGAGGATCCCATGACTGTTCCATGATGATGCCAGAGGCACTGGAGCAAGGGTAGGCAGTGACCCAGGGAGAGAGCCTGAGTCCTGGATGATGGCTACTGTTTCTAAGGGCCCTGGGTTGGAACCTGGTGGAGTAGGGTAGGTTCAGGTTCCCCTGCTCACCCCCATTCTCACAAGTAGACGATGCTACTCCTGAACCATAGCCGTTAGGTGGGGTGGCCTCTGGATTCTCACCATAGGCAGTGCTACCTTGAGCTGTAATGGCCAGAGAAATTGACCCTTGGACTCTTACCATTAGGCATCACACCTTGGATTACCACCATTAGGTGGTACTGCAGGCCTGGAGCACAGTCAAGCCCTGACATGCCCCTTTAGGATCTGGCAGAAAATAATTTAATTTTTTTAGAAGAGACTGGGCCAAATTCATCCATGGTGTAACTCAATTGACATATAAAGGGGTTTGATCTGACTCCATTTCTTACCACTACCCCTTCTCACTCATGGTTCTTTCTGGGTAGATAGTAAAACTGTGTATTCAGGATGATGTCTAGTACATATATATTAGAATGTCTGTGCCACTGAAACAAACTTTCTTAGCCACAAAATGTTTGGCACATCTATTTGATAATTAAACTCTTGGAATCACAATCAAGCTCTCATTTGTGACCCCCCAGTGCATTTTGAGATTAAAAATGTCCCATAAACCATTAGATTTATTTCACTTGATGTTTTCCCCTCCATTCAGTTTATCCTGCCACTGGGATCTAAAATGTAAAGTATGTATTGATTAAAAAAGAGTTACCAAGTAATCAAATGCTAATATCTGCTCTCTGCTCATTGCTTCCACATCGGTCAGTCCTCCTGATCTGAATGTTGCAGCTGAACAGAGCTTAAACCTGGCTGGAGAGGGCATTCAGAGTGACCTTTCATCTTTCAGTTGGCATACATTAGGGGTTATTTTAGTGTTAAAGTAATCTCTCTTTAAAGAATCCTGGATTGTTGTTAACTGCAGTAGTACTATCAGCAATCTTACTAAACAGAATGATCTCGCTGCCAGCAGGTAGATGGCTGACTTGAGATAAAATAAGAGGAGACAAAGAGCATGAAAAGAAAAACCTTGGAAATAGCAAATATATTTGTCATAGAAATGTAGGGCTGGAAGGGACTTGAGAGGTCACCAAATCCAACCCTCTGCACTGAGGCAGGACCAAGTAAACCTAGACCATCCCTGACAGGTAACTGTCTAATCTGTTCTTAAAAACCTCCAATGATGGGGATTCCACAACCTCCCTTGGAAACCTATTCCAGAGTTTAACTACCCTTATTTTCCCCCTAATATCTAACCTAAAATCTCCCTTGCTGCAGATTAAGCCCATTATTTCTTGCCCTACCTTCACTGTACACTGTCCTCTTTATAAACAGCCCTTACCATACTTGAAGACTATTATCAGGTCCCTGCCCTTAGTCTTCTTTCTCAAGACTAAGCATGCCCAGTTTTTTAACCTTTCCACACAGGTGAGGTCTTGTTGCTCTCCTCTGGACTCGCCACAATTTGTACACATCTTTCCTAAAGTGTGGCACCCGCAACTGGACACAACACTCCAGCTGAGGTCTCCCCAGCACCAAGTAGAGTAGGACAATTACCGCCTTAAATATGACACTCCTTTTAATACACACTAGAATGGATGGAGTGTATTATTTTAAGGGAGTTCAAGTTGAGTGGCAATTGCTTTTTAGTCTTTGTTTTATAAAATTAATTTCCTCACAGAAATTCAGTTTAATTAAAATGCACATTAATATCTTTGCAGGAAATAATCTGAAACAAAGGGATTAAAGTCTTGAGCTAAATCCTGTGGAAATCAAAGGACTCCTATTGACTTCCAAGGACCTTGGATCAGGCCTAAATGGATCTGAGAAACGTGGAAACCATTAATGCCCAAACTGATTCTACAGATGATAAAGGGCAAGCAATTGGACATGAGAAATATGGAAATAAAAAAGGCCAATGGCATTTTCAGCTGTATAGTCAAAGACATCACAGCATGGGCTGAGTTGATGCTATAACTCTCTATATGGCACTGATGCTGAAACGTGGCATTCAGGTTTGAGCACCTTGTGGAAGAGAGATTAGAGAAGAATAAGACAATGATTAGGGCAATGGAGGGACTGATGTCTGAGAAAGATGAAATGAGTGAAATACATATAACCTGCATAAGAGTGAGGTGCATGTTAACAATCTACAGGCATCTGAATGCAGTACAGACCATGAGTCAAGTTCTGCCCTCACTCAGGGCTGATTTACAATCCTGTGATTCCATTAAAGTTAAGAGTTTTTCTGTATTTACACTGTGGTAACTGAGATGAGAATCTTACCCCCCACAATGGAGAGGGATGACCAGAGTGTCACAGAGGGGTATAACTAGGAGTAATGGGTAACATTTTCAAAATCGCCCATGTGGTTTAGGAGCATGAGTCCCATTCACTTTTCATTTTACCCAACAAGAATAAATTAAGAAAGGGAAATTTTAGGAGCCACATTCAGGAACACTTTCTGGCAGTGAGATGTATAAAACTCTTGAACAGTCTCCTCTAGGGAATGGTGGAAGCCATGCTGCTAATGGCCTTTAAAACTAGACTAGACTAAACACCAGCAATGCACTGCGTTGGGTGTGTGATGGAGAGGATGAGCTAATATGGCTAGAGGGTTTTTTTGGACAAAATCTCAGATGTTCGCTGACCCTGTGGCAGCACTCTGGCTACCTCGGAATTCCTTGGCAAGGGAAATGTGTAGGTGGCCTCGTTGCAGTCTATCACCCTCAGTTACACCCCATCATGCAGGGGGCATTTCTGAGAGAAATGAGGTGAGGCTGGAACACTGCTGTGTTCCACCTACTCACAGCTGTTGAAATAACCCCTTGGAGCAGGGGGCGGCCAGGGAAAAACTGGAGTACTGTTTGTGCCGCTCTAACTTACGCTAAGGGTCAAAGAAACCTAACAGAGCTTCCAAAATAAGGGAGCTGTAGAGGTGGGGTAAACCACTTGTTTTTAGGGTGACCAGACAGCAAATGTGAAAAATCGGGACGGGGATGGGGGGTAATAGGAGCCTATATAAGAAAAAGACCCCAAAATCGGGACTTTCCCTATAAAATCGGGACATCAGGTCACCCTACACTTTTTCCTGCTCCTGTGCCAAGCACAGCTTTGCCAGAACTGTGAATCTGGGCCTCTCTAACATCTGTGTTGTTCTGTTCCCACCTAGATAGTCACTAGCACTGGAAAGTGAAAACATGTATTTTTCTTGTGCTACTTTATCATCTGCCATATGGCTAATGTCAATGCTGGGAAATAAGACATCGCTTTTCAGTGATAAGAAGTCGTGTTAGCTTTCCTGACGGACACCTGCTGTTCCAAAGCAAAGAGCGGTTCCTGTGGGAACCTGCGTGACTGATTTCCAGGAGAGTTACCTTATGTTTGACTGAGATAAATTTCTACCAAGAAACCCTTTTGGGCTATGCTTTCAAGAGATCAAATTAACGGTATGCACTGAGGGTCCGATTCTGCGAGGGCTCCACAGGCAGGGAGTGTGTTGTGTGTGTAACACTGGCAGGATCGGGCCCCTGCTATGTTAGTTGATGTAACTGATTTGATCTGCTTCATTTGGCAATAAACCAATTTGCACACATGGGTTGGACCAAATGCTGTTCTTAGTTACACCCAGGCAATTCTCCTGAAGCCAGTGGAAATTTGTGAAGGCGTGAGAGCAGAATTTGGCTCTCTACATTCAAGTGAACTCCTGAAGCTTCATGCAACATATTTTCATGGACAAAATATGATCAGTTCCAAAAGTGAGGTGGAAAGTTACTTTCCAGACAAGGGGCATGATCCCTCATTATCTTTTCTTTAAAATCTTCTGCAATATGATGGAAACTGACTGATTGCAATGCTGAAACCCTGCTCGGGGTGCACTCTTGTGCCAAGTGGCTAAAGGGTGTCTCTGCAGTTTCATTTGCTATACCATGGAACCTCCCAAAAGTAGTTGTCCTTGCTCCTTTCCTCTCACTTGGTTATTATCACTGATCAACTACTAGCATTTTAAGAATGGGCTATCTCAAAAGCTTTCTATCTCAGCAATACACATAACATTCCCTGGATGAGATACCTCTTCCCCTCAACACTCAAAATATCCATCAGTTCCACACTCTCCTATTTCCTCCTTTAAATCTATGAATTCCATACTCTTTCCCTCCCAAATCCAGCTGCCCTTCTAGATGGACATGTACCCCCACCTTCAAGCCCAGTACCTCTTCACTCATCCTATTTTCCCCTCCCCAGCATCACTGATGCTCTTCTAGGTGACTCCCTAACTTGACAGCTGTTTCTCACAGCAGCAGTAGTGGTGGCAGGTGACTTGTCTGCAGACTCTGTTGGCAGTGGTAAGGGCACACAAGTTGTCCGGCTGTCTCTGGCTGTGGGGTTATGTGGGGTGTAGGTCCGTGCTGGCTGTGGGCTAGGTGGTCAATTGGGAACTGACCCCACTTTTGGTTCTTGAGGTGGGCAAGTCTCTCTTGACTGCTGGATGTCTCCATTAGCTAGGGTGGGCGAAGAGCTCTCAGCAGGCTGGTGGGGCACTGAAACTAGTGAGTAGGAGGAACAGGACTCCCAGATCCAATACTGTACCAGCTCTTCAGACAGGGGGAAGGCAGTGACTAGTATGGGGCAGCCTCAGTGGTTGAATGGAGAACTTAGCAATTGCCAGGCCAGTGAAAGGCAAGATGCTCAAAGGACTGTGGGGCCCCAGTGCTCCTTACTGTTGCATCAAAAAGGAGCAGCATTCATTCCTTCCAACACTTATTTCTGACTGGATCATATGTACAGCCTCAAAAAGGATGACCACACCCTGTTGGCCATGCCCATGCTCTCAAGAGAGCACTAGGGGCCAACTCGTTGGCTCTGATATCATTCCTTTGTGCCATGGAGTGGTGCAAAGGGACCTTAAATGAGACCGAAAAAGGCTGATGAGGGTTCTCCCAGTATAAAGGGCACATCTGGCTTTATTCCACATGCTTCTGTTTGCCAGGAGTTGGGGTAGGAAGGCATTGTGGCAGGAGCAGGAGAGGGCAGGGCAAGACCAGAAAGGGGTGGAGCAAGAGTGCATGGCATTTTGGCCAATCCTCAGCCAGCAAAAGGAACTACTCCAACTGGGATACTATAAAGCAGCCCTTTGGTTGCTCTTAGTTACAAGAGCTCATGTTGACCTCTGGTGGCCCCAAGACCAGTGGAGTGGAAAGGTATCTGAGGACCAAGTTCCCTTCCACCTCTCAGCTGCACCCAGCACAAGATCTCCATAGCTAAACTTATGGCCCTAGGAGTATATCCTACTGCCCGAGTGTTTTGGTAATAAGTAGCTATCTATTAGAAGACAAACTAGAGAAAAACCCACATGTAAACAAACCCCCCACCATTGAAATCTTTGCTTTAGTTACGCCAAAAA